TCATAAAATGGCGCTGAATTTCCTCACTTCACTCCACTTCCTCACATGGCATTCCCCTGATGCAAGAAACCGGACAGATCATGTTCTCATCATCAAAAGTCATTGAGCGTACCTAGAAGATGTTAGGGTGTACAGAAGCGCTGATTATGTCTCTATGATGGTTAAAGTTGAAGTCCAACTGGGGTTCTTGACTAGAAGCAAAAATCCACTGCAAATTTTGAAGTCGACAATGTAAAATATCCAGAAATGACTTAAGTATATCAGATTATTACATGCAGAAGATTCAAACCTCCAGATGGTGATTATACAGACGATATATCAGAGGGAAACGCTTAGTACATACGAAGAAGCAATAGTAACAACGGCAGGGGAGCAACTGGAACCGGAGGGAAACCCTTGGAAAGATCGGAAACGAAATGCTTGCAAAAAAGAACGGGATTGACAAGACTGAAACGGATAAAAGTGCAAGGGAGAAGTACAGAACGAAATTGAGGACTCGCTAAGGAAAGATATAGCAACGAAGCATAACCCCGGTGTTTTGGGTAGGCTTAGGGTAGAGTTTTCGATACCGCCGTCGATACATAACGCTCAGCTTTCAAAATGTACCTATACCGGATTGAAACGGCGAAAAAATAGTGTATAGAAAGATAAATTCCTTTTGTTACTTTACATTAATAATGAAAATCTTACACTAGGAAGCAGAGAAATATTCCAACGAGCCGTTGCTTTTAGTAGCTTAGGAAGACCATTTAAGCAGGCCAGGACTCTCCGGTATTTAAGCCCCAGGAATGCATAGGATGTAAGACTGCGTGTATCTCTTAATTCTCTTAATATCTCAACCAAATGAATGTTTAAACACAATCGCCAAACAAAAAGCACTTTCTAGGATAAAAAGGCTAAAATAATGGATCATGCAGTTCGGGGAAGGGGAACGATACGACATCGCTACCGAGGAAAATTCATTGCTACATCGACTAGTAGACTTTAGCAAGAATTACTCAATGGCTTAATAAAACGGCGGGACAACATTCGAACTCATGTCCTTAAACCAGACGGGCGATATGCCTTACTCTTCCAATGAGAACGATACAGTAAACGCTAAAATGCAATGATTTTTTGTCAAATGAGCACTGACAACTGAAGACAGATGCAGCGTGATCCGAACACTGAGCAAAAGAGCTAATCGAGTAGAGCAAAACCTATGAATTACGATGATGAGGATGCAGAAATGAAACTCGATTACAACCCTGAAACAAAATTTGGCGAAACTACATGCGTCATACTCAAAGCACAATATTTACGCACTGATGTTGGCAAATGCAGTTACCGGAACCGTCGCCAGTTATAATAAAGCACAGCTACCATCCGTCTGTTTCGTTCTATGTTCTGACGGTTAATATGGCAACTTATATCATAAAATTATTCGTCGCTATAACCTTTATGCCGGACGTAAAGTTAAATGGAAATGAGGTAAGGTAAGGTGAAGAAGATGTAAAAAAGTAACCAAAGACAATCCACTATCATTGTGTGATTCTGAAGTGCAAAGCCAACGCCTTCAGCGGTGCCGGGTCCGGGGACTGAACTGAAGCAAAACGAAGAGACGTTCAGCGACATCGACAACAACTGTAAAAGTCTACCGATGATATGACTCACTTTATCTGGGGTAAAATATATGCAGTGCCAAACTTGTCGTAAAAACTCAAAATATACCACTGATGTGTGTGTAGAAGCGAACAACAGTGCAATGCGGCAATGAGAGAACAGTACATAAATGATATCGCAGACTATGCGGCGACCAAATGAAAGGAATACCTGGGGAAAGAATTTTGAGCCGAAAAATGAAGCACGCCATGCTAATTTCATCGACTCAACGCATGAATCCAGAGAGTGGTATGGAACAAAGATTCGCACTAGAACTCCCACTATCGAGGCTAAAACCTCTAAAGCGAAGTTTATTCCCGACTGTACCGATGTATACCGTCATATTTTATTTTACATTATGTCTGTTCTTGAAGATGAGGCGAAACGTTGGAGAATATGTAAAAATGCGATAAGCGACGTAATCCCTTAAACGACTTTTCGAATTTTTAATCTCATATCCCAAATATGGAATCATGCTTGCTATATTTTCATAACAGTGGTGAAATGTTGCTTTAAAAGTGGCTGCGATATCTGCCGGAATATTTACTCGTTGCTTCCATTCACTGAAGCATACTCCATCTTCTAAAATATGATACAGCAATTCATTTTTTGTTTAATTTTTTAAATTTCACAACAGACTTCGACAACCACGTCGAAAATCATTGCAAACTTGATATTTAAGAGAATACGTTAAAAGCAATTTCCCCTTGCAAAAACTCACAAAAATGCTTATGAACCACAACGTGGACCTGTTATCTGAACATAACATAAGCCCTGATATGAAGGTATGAAATATATGAAATATTACTTGCCACTGGGTTGTAACTACCTCACTTAACCCACATTCACGGACGAATAAGGTGAAGTGACTTGCGATGCTGCATCTAATCCTGACACGGGACGCAATATACACGGATGTCACAGATGGGAGGACAACGTACAAAACGTACTGTTTATAAAACAAAATTATTGACCGCCAAGCCCGGTCCGTCTTCTAAGTTACGTTGACATACCAAAGCATCATATCATCTCCCGCATAAAGAAATCGTCTACTATATTAAACGGGGCTAAGCTAATTTATATCAAAGAATCGGGATCTGTAAAAAGCAATAAATACGGATCATCGCATTCTGCGGGATAGTTCAATCTGAATATCCACGATTTGAGATTTCAGCCAAAACACGGTAGACCGCCAACCCTGAGGAACAAGGTCGATGCAGATATGCTTTCGGAAAGAAATTATTCTTTCGACGATGAACTAACTGATGCGTTACGGAAAGTGTTGAAAACCTATAAGTACAATGGACACCACAAAACAAAAAAGAGCCGTTTGTTGTTTTGTTCTGTTTGTATGCAAATGACTTAGGGTGATGTTCATACAACCGAACAAACAAACAGATCTTCATTTAACTGTTTCACCTGGCAGTTACCACCAGTCAGGACGGCGAAGATAATGAGGTCTGACATACTTATGTGACAAATATACAAATACAATTCGTTCACGGACCGAATGCAATTTCATGTTCGTTTCGAACCTAGATGTACAGGCGTGGCCATCACAGCTGAATGAGTACATAAATTAAGTAAAAAGTACATAAATACAGTACCTAGAAGTTGCTAAAAGTGAAACGGGAAATGCCGACCGCAAATAAAACTTTCCTTCTTTAAAAACAAACTATGTAAATTACAGCCAGACGTCTATCTGAGAGAGGCGTCCTACACAACAATACGCCCGACAAAAGACGAAACGACAAAATCT